TGTTATTAATTATTATTATTATTTTATTATTTGGGGGGGAGGTAGAAAGAGAGGGAGAATCCCAAGCAGGCTCCATGCCTAGCACAGAGGCCAGTGCAGGGCTTGATCTCACAACCCTGAGATCGTGACCTGAGATGATATCAAGAGTCCTATGCTTAGCTGACTGAGCCACCCAGGTGCCCCACGGCAAACTAAATATTAGTTGAGCATGAATGAGCCCACACTCTTAAAATAACTATATACAAATAGATATGCAAATAAACATGTATAACTCACTGAGCTCAGATCAGGCTTCTTCTTCTTTTTTTTTTTTTAAGATTTTATTTATTTATTTGACAGAGACACAACGAGAGAGGGAACACAAGCAGGGGGAGCGGGAGAGTGAGAAGCAGGCTTCCCACTGAGCAGGGAGCCTGATGTGGACTCGATCCTAGGACCCTGGGATCATGACCTGAGCCAAAGGCAGATGCTTAACGACTGAGCCACTCAGGCGCCACTCAGATCAGGCTTCTGTCTACACTGTGAACCAAATCTATCCTTGTTAAGGTTACCAAGTGACCTTCACATTGTTAAATCCAGGGGGCAATTTTTAGCTATTATTTACTTTATTTATTAATCTATTTATTATTGCAAATCTATTGCATTTGCTACCATTTTTCCCCTTCTTTTTTGAGAAACCTTTTTTTTTTAACTTGTCTTCCCAGACACCACACATTCCTGTCGTTTTTTTTTTCTGTCATTTTATTGGCCACTCCTTAGTCTCCTTAGTGTCCTGACTTCTTGTTGTAGAGTGTCCCAGGATTCAAGTCTTTGACCTCTTCTCTTTTCCGTCTACACCCATTCACCATCTAGTCTCCTAACTTTAGTTCCCTACTGTATGCTGATCACTCCCAGCTTTCTCCAGGAAAGACCAGTTCCCTGGATGTATTCTCATATTTCAGTTGCCTCCTTGACACTGCCATTTAAATGTCTAAAGGAGATGTCACACATGACATATTTAAAATTGAACTCCCAAGCATTTTCCCCAAAACCTGCTCCTCTGTAATCTATACCTCAGTAAATGGCAGGTCCATCTTTACAGCTGTTTTAGCCAAAACCCTTGGCATCATTCTGAAATTCCTCTTTTTTCTCTTACTCTATTTCCATTACATCAGCAAATTCTGTCAGCTTTTCCTTCAAAATATCTCCAGAATCTGCTCACTTCTCACCATCCCCACTGCCATTACCCTCATCCAAGCCACCAGAATCTCTAGTCCACTGTTACAGGAGACTCCTGACTGGTTCCTTTCTTTCCACCCATGACATCTTGTAGCCTGTTCACACAGAGACAGAGTGGTTGTTCCAAAATATGGCATAATGTCACTCCTTTGCTCTCCCTACCTTGACTTGATGTTCACCTTGGAACAAAGCCCAAAGTCTTTATCATACCCTTCAAGGCCCTACAGAATTTGTTCTCCCGTCTCTCCACCAGTTAACTCTGATTTTCTCTTCTACTTGTCAATCCCCTGCTTACTCATCTCCAGACACAATGGGGTCTTTGCTCTTCCTTTTGTACCCCAGGAATGTTCCTTCCTCAAGGTCAGCAACAGCAGTTCCCCCTGGATGTCCATAATGCCCACCACCTCATTTTCAAAAGGATTTGCTCGCATGTCTCCTTTGAGGTCTTTCCCAGCCACCCTATTTGAATTGCAGTTCTTCAAAAGCCATTTCCTGATTGTTTCATGCCAGTGATTTGTTTCTCTCCACAGCCCATATCGCCATCTGACATACTGTTCATTCCACTCATTTGTCTTTACTCATGAGAATGTAAGCTCCATAGGAACAGGGATTATTACATATGTCCCTGTCACCCAGAACAGTGCCTGGAACATAGTAGGCACTCAGTAAATACTTGTGGAATAAATGAATAGCTAATTTGAGCATATAAACTTAAATCTACATCTAACATAGATCTAACCAATGTATTTCTCTTTTTATTGCACTTTTATTTTTTTATATATAAATATATTTTCTTTTTTTAATTTAAATTCAATGAATTAATACATAATGTATTATGTTTCAGGGGTACAGGTCTGTGATTCATCAGTCTTATATAATACCCAGTGCTCATTATAACACATACCCTCCCCAATGTCCATCACCCTGTTCCCACATCCCACCACCCCTTTCCCCTCCAGCAACCCTCAGTTTTTTCCTAAGATTAAGAATCTCTTATGGTTTGTCTCCTTCTCTGATTTCATCTTGTTTCATTTTTTCCTCTCTTCTCCTATGATCCTCTGCCTTGTTTCGGTAGATCTAACCAATGTATTTCTAATGTTGACTTTAAACCCTCATGAGGACTGACTGAGGAAAATGCCACATATAACCCTGGATCAATCTGGACATGTTAGAGTGCTGGCCTTTGCCTGTCTTTCTTCTCTGTATCCCTCTCTGGAGTTCACTAGACTGTTCTCTGTTGCAGGCATGCAGGGAATTCTTAATTGTCTGTGGGCAAATGCTTAGACTTTACCATTTAAGTACTGTGTCTTTATCAACTATATTTTCATAGCACTGGCTGTTCCTTTCACATACTAGAAATAGAGGAAGTAAAATTTTTTCTTGTGCTGCATTAAGTGCCGACCTTAGCTCCTAGTGATCACACAGACTCTTGGAATTTTATTTTCCGGTTTAATTACTTTGGGCCTATGTGAAGCTCTTAGAGTATATATTCATGTATTTCATTTATTCTTCTGGTATAATCCATATTTGCTTCAAATTCATGCAGAATGGCCTACTTAATATCAGAATGGTTATTTTATGTACCAGTTCTATAGATGTAAGTTCTTCCTCCAAAGAACTGCAACCAGTAAGTATTGTTTCAGCAAGCAGGAGATTCTGTACTTCGTGGTTCTTGCTGACCCAGCTAAAAGACACTGAACGACGCATTTCACTTCCAGGGGCTATTGCTAGGTTTTGACAGTCCCTGGTACTATAAATAGCACTTCAGGGAACACTCAGGTACACTGGACATTTTCTTTGCAGTTCAGTTCAATGTTTGCAGAAAGAAAGTCACATGCTGTCTGGTTTGCACAAGTCCCTTGCCCCTTAGCGCCTCCCAAGTTCTAGACAGACCCACCCAGAGTGTACATTTTCTCATAAACACAGCATTTACTTTCAGCATACTTTATGCCTTTGTTTATACTGCTTCTCTGCCTGGCAAAATCCTATTCATCCTTTAAGATTCATCTCGAGTGAGAAAGCTTTCCCTGAGTTGGCTTGGCAGAAATTTGCCCTTTTCCTCCCGTGTGGGATTCTCCACAGCACTTAGAGCATACGTCTTCTACAACAATTTCAGCATTACGTTAGAGTCTGTTAGATAAGTTTCTGTGTTCATAGTCCCCCTACATCCCAAACTGTGAGTCCTGAGGCCTGTGACTTTCAGTATCTTTTTGTATTTACCCCTAGCAGCATAGGCAACACTCAGCCACTGTTTGTTGAGTGAATTGCAGATTGTAGGAATGAATGAAATTGCATTCAGATAGGGAGATAGAATCCATTTGAGCTTGTTCCCAGTTTAATGCCTTTAAAACTAATCCTATGCTTAGTATGGATTTTTCTCTTTTCCCTAGCAGCCACTCTCTACAATGTACATGGTCAGTTTGATTCAAAATATGTTATATTTAAATACACTTCAGGGAATTAATTTTTTTATTATTCATTTATTATTTTTTTTTAGTTTCAAAGGAACAGGATAGTTTATTCCTTACAGACTTCTTGGCATCTTTCTTTTTCCATGCTCTTTTGGTCTGCCCAGTCTTCAATCAAATTCTTCCAATGGGTCTGCTGTAAACAATGATTTTGTGAGCGGTTGTGTGTTCTCTGCAGTGAAAACCCACCTTGTTTTCTGTTGCTAGGCAACCCCATTCCAGCTGCCCTTGAAGAAATGCGCGGTGGTGGGAAATGGTGGGATTCTGAAGAAGAGTGGCTGTGGCCGTCAAATAGATGAAGCAAATTTTGTCATGCGGTAAGAGAGAGCACCCACAGCGCGGCCTCTGCCTTCTCTCCTTTTCCCTACCCCTTCCACAAGCCCTGGGGCCTTTCAAAGCTAGTCACTTGTGATTAATCAGTTGTAACTGCTCTTTAGCTTCCCTTCAAGTTCATATACAAGTGAGTGTAGGAAAGGGCCAGGGAGCAAGGGAACATGCCCCAAGAAAGTACAAAACCAAGAAGGGCTCAGACATCCTGAGGAGACCCAAAAGTAGAAACACTTAGATTTTGCTTTAGATTATATAGTCGGGTGATAAAAACTTCAAAGATTGTTTATAAATAAACGTTTTCATTTATTCATTTCACTCTACACCCTTTTCATCTTTGTTTTTCACAAAAGCATTTGTGAGTAGCAAGTGGGATTTGAAGACAGATCTGATCTGTGTACGGCTGGGACAACTGGAAGGAAGGTGGGGGCAGAACTTTTGAGCAGCGAGGAAGTTTGGTTAAAGGACTGAGCAGAGTGGTGACATGTATGTCACTTGAAGGGGAACACAGGAGGCTTCTGCAGGGGTGTGTAAAAAACCGCTAAGATGCATCCAGCCAGGGGTAGAGACCATCTACCTCTAGTGGCATCAACCTGCTCTGTTGGGTGATTTTGACCAGAAGTGAAGACAGCAAGTGATTGGATTGACATGGGTTTGGGATTGTCTGGGTAAGAGGGAGGAAGGAGGGGAGTGACAACACGGAGAATCCTGGCTAGAGAGAGTGTGAGGTGACATACCTTGAAGTCTGGGCTGGATAGGAAGTGGGCTCTGAGAGGCATGAACAAGAGAGGAAGGGCACCAAGTGGGGCCCAAGGACGGTGTGTTTTAGTCTGCTGCCTGCATCTGACCTGGGAGTTGTAGCTTGCCAGGAACTGTTTCTCTAATTGTTTCAGACCTGTGGGGCCCAGATACACAAGTGGCCCTTGGCCAGAGACAGGTGCTTAAGGGGCATCCCTTGTGTGTTCTGAAAGCACCTGCTGGTTTAGGCAGCATGGATCCACAGAAGAGTGCCAGACTGGGGCATACCCTTCCACAGACTTTGGCAGGGCAGATGAGTGCTAGGATGCTGGCACATCACCTGCTGAGTTTGGCATTTTACATCTTTTAAAGGGGGCAATGGGAACACCATTCCAGGGCAAGCAGCACCAGCAAGGTAGGAGAATGCAAAAATGGTGCCAGCACCTCCATCCCTGGAGAGAATTCCAGCAGACCCTTGCCCTTCTGGCAGATGCTTTAAGATTAGCCAATGAATTTCTTTCACATATGGTCTAGGTGCTTTTCAGCTTGCTGTTTTTGCACTGGGACCCAAGGTAATGAGCCTGTGCCTGAGCCCTTTTAAGATGGGAGTCTCCGTTTCCTACAGTCCTTTGGGTCTTCTAGGTATAAGCCATGCTGGTTTTCAAAGCCAGATGTTTCAGATCCTGTCTCTCTGGTGCAGGTCCCAAGGGTTGGGGTACATGATGTGGGGATCAAATACCTTGCTCGTTAGGGACAGGCTCTGTGTTTGTGAGATCCTTCCTACTGGTGGCTTGCCGTGCCAGGAATAGGGTTTTTGACAAGACTATGTCTCTGCCTCTCCTACCTTTCTTGATGTGGTCCTTTTAGCTTTTGTTGTGGAGTTGCTATTCAGCTTATTTTCAGGTCTTTTCCAGGGAAAATTATTCTATCAGTAGCTGTAGATTTGGTGTACCAGTGCGAGGAGGTCAGTTCAGGGTCTTCCTATGCCACCATGTCGAACCCCTGCAAAGAATAGGGCCATTTTCATAATATATTTGAATTTTTTAAAAGCCTCATTTAAGGTTTACAATATGGGAGTAATTAAGTGGTTTGTTTTTTTTTTTAAGATTTTATTTATTTATTTGACAGAGAGAGAGACCGCGAGAGAGGGAACACAAGCAGGGGGAGTGGGAGAGGGAGAAGCAGACTTCCCGCTGAGTCAGGAGCCCGATGTGGGGCTCGATCCCAGGACCCTGGGATCATGACCTGAGCCGAAGGCAGACGTTTAACGACTGAGCCACCCAGGTGCCCCAATTAAGTGTTATAAATGGTTTATAAATTATTCTTATTTGACCACTTATGGTTCTACTTATAAATGGTTGCTTCATACACATTTTTTGGGTGCCCTGAGAAAATTCGGGTAGTATCATACGTTCAAGTTAAACATTTAGTGAGTACATATGATTAGAAAGCACGTAGTATGTCTGATCTTAGACTATAGGGTGCATGGAGAGTTACAGTGAGAGAACAGATCCAAAAATAGCCTTCTGCACACAGTGATATACCACATTACAGTTCAAAGTGTTTTTCAGTATTAGGATATAACAGTATTATAATTTTCTTTGCTTAGACATTTTCAAGTACATTTTCTTATCTTTTTTTTTTTTTTAAGATTTTATTTACTTATTTTAGAGAGAGAGAGCATGAGCAGGGGGGAGGAGCGGGTAGAGGAAGAGGGAGAAGCAGACTCTGGATGAGCAGGGAGCCCGACGCAGGGCTTGATCCCAGGGCCCCAGAATCATGACCTGAGCCGAAGCCAAATGCTTAACCGATTGAGCCACCCAGGCACCCCTCAAGTACATTTTCTTTTTTTTTTTTTTAAAGATTTTATTTATTTATTTGAGAGAGAGAGACTGAGAGAGAGAGAGCACATGAGAGGGGGGAGGGTCAGAAGGAGAAGCAGACTCCCTGCCGAGCAGGGAGCCCGATGCGGGACTCGATCCAGGGACTCCAGGATCATGACCTGAGCCGAAGGCAGTCGCTTAACCAACTGAGCCACCCAGGCGCCCCTTCAAGTACATTTTCTAATGCTAAACATCTATTTCTTGTTTTTCAAAGTAAACATTTGCTCTATAGTCCAAAGTAACACTTTAAAAAATAATATTATTGAATACAATTTATCTGGAAGGTCTGCAAGACAAAGGTAACATGCTTGCATCTTGGAGATGATTTGTGTGGCTCAGGGATACAAGTGAGGGCAACATCATTTTGGTGCGGTAGAATTGTGCTCAAATGTGTGTTTTACATACTTAAATATGCGTAACACTTTTAAAGTTTTTATTTAAATTCCAGTTAACATGCAGTGTAATACTAGGTTTTAGGTGTGCAACATAGCGATTCAGCACTTCCAGAAACACCCGGTGCTCATCACAACAGGTTCACCCCTCAGTCCCCACCACCTATTCAACCCATCCCCCTCGCCTGCCTCCTCTCTGATAACCGTCAGTTTATTCTCTATAGTTAAGAGTCTGTTTCCTGGTTTGCCTCTCTCTCTCTCTCTCTTTTTCCCTATGCTCATTTGTTTTGTCTTCTAAATTCCATATATGAGTGAAATCATATGGTATTTCTCTTTCTCTGATATATTTCACCTAGCACAATACTCTCTAGCTCCATCCATGTCACTGCAAATGGCAAGATTTTATTCTTTTTGATGGCTAAGTAATATTCTGTTGTCATGGAATGACACTTATCACTTCTTTAACACTTCTTTACCCGTTATATATCACTTCTTTATCCATTCATCAATCAATGGACACTTGGGCTGCTTTCCTATTTTGGCTATTGTAAATAATGCTACTATAAACATCAGAGTACACGTATCCTTTGAATTTGTGTTTTTGTATTTTTGGGGTAAATACCTAGTAGTGCAATTGCTGGGTCGTAGGGTAGTTCTAGTTTTAACCTTTTTTTTTTTTTCAAAAAAATTTTAAAAGATTTTATTTATTTGAGAGAGAGAGTGAGAGCACAAGCAGTGGGGGGAGGGGTAGAGGAAGAGGGAGAAGCAGAC